TCCCATCTCACTTTTTGCAAAAATTAAAATCCGCAAGTGGTCTACAAAACCATCAGATAAATCTACCTGCCCCACCAAGTTTTCTCCTACTAAGAGCCACTGACCCCCAACCATTCCAGCTAAGCAAAGCTCTTTGCTCCTCTGGGGGCTTGCTCTAGGGCTTACTCCAGGCTCATCGCTTCTATACCTCCTCCATGGCTCTACCTTAAAAGCTCTTCCCCCAACTCTTGTCCCCAGATATCTGGCAAGGCTCACCTGCTGCTAAGGCCTTCACTTTCTTACTCTATGCCCCACTCCACCACCACAAACAGATGTTTGTCTGGTTTTTTCCCCCATTACAGCCCTAGCTCTTGGACAACTGCCTGACACACAGTAAGAGCTTAGTAATTATATGTGGAAAGACTGAGTGACCAAATACTTACGTTATGACATAATTTTATAGAACCATGAAATGGGTAGAATTTGAAAAAGTCTAGAATTAAAGCATGTGAAGATGGCTACCCTCTTCCACTGGGCACACTGGGCAGTAGTTCTTAGAGGAGGAGGAAGGAAGTTTGGGACAGCAAGGAGTCCAGCTGCCTAAAGAAGACCCGCCCACATTCCATGTTGCCATAAAAGTCAGTGTTTACAGACCTCTGTGGGGCCCATCAATGCCCCAAGGCAGGTTCACTCAAAGCCGCTGTCACTAGTTCCAATTCTCAATATTGCTACACATCAAAAGGACATTTCCAAGGTCTTTCAAACATCAGAGGCCTGAACTTCTACATTATGGTTAATGTAATTAACATAATTTCAGTTATGCCAATTTCAGTTAAGCACATAAATCATGCCCATGTTTCAGAACCCATTACAAAACGATACTCGTGAAAATGCTCCTGAAATGAGGAAGAATGCTTCATATGCCACAAAGCTCCATCGTTACTTTACCTAATGTTAAAGAGAGTAGCGCTAGCTATAAAGCAGACACTGTTCTGTGGGGTTTACAGGGAACGGCCCACGTGGTCCTCCAATGAAGCGAGTACTCTTAATTTCAGTTTACAGGTAGAGAGTTAAAGAACGCCTCTGGGGCCATACTGCTAATGAGCTAGAGAGCTGGGATATGAACCCAGGTGGGTTGGCCCCCAGCCCGGGGTTTCAGAGCCTATTCACCTTGACACACTGCCCCTTGGTTCTGCCCAATTCCAATGGTCTGCAAATGGGGTCAACAAAACAAGACCTTACATGATGAATGCCATACCTTTGTCCACGGAAGACATAAAATACCTGGAATGTCAACTGGAGTTAAGAGATTCAATAAGAAAATATCATCTGACATTAATAGTTATCAAATATTGATGAAAACCTGAGATAAAGCAAGTAAGTTTTTCTCAAAAAGTCAGGGCAGGGCTGCCTGGGTGGCTCAGTGGGTTAAGCCTCTACCTTCAGCTCAGGTCATGATCTCAGGGTCCTGGAATAAGTCCCACATCAGGCTCTCTGCTCAGCAGGGAGCCTACTCTCTCCGTGCCCACCCCCGCCACCTACTTGTGATCTTGTGATCTCTGTCAAATAAATAAATAAAATCTTTAAAAAAAAAAAAAAAAAAAGGTCAAAAGAGGGTGTGCTTGGGTGGTTCAGTCAATTAAGCAGCTGTTTTCAGCTCAGGTCATGATCCCAGGGTTGGTCCTGGGATCCAGCAGCACACACGTCAGGCTCCCTGCTGGGTGGGGAGCCTGCTTCTCCCTCTCCTCTCTCCCGGCCTATGCTCTTACTCTCTCTGTCAAATAAACAAATAAAATCTTTAAAAAAAAAAAAAAAAAGTCAAAGGAGGGGCACCTGAGTGGCTCAGTGGGTTAAGCCTCTGCCTTCTGCTCAGGTCATGATCCCAGGGTTCTGGGATCGAGCCCCACATCAGGTTCTCTGCTCAGCAGGGAGCCTGCTTCCCCCTTTTTCTCTGCCTACTGTGATCTCTCTCTCTCCCTGTCAAATAAATATTTTTTTTTAAAAAGTCAAAGGAGAATAATAAAAGTAGACAAAATGCAGTTTTAAAAACTGCTTTGCTAAAGCAAACAGTAAGAAACCTGCTTGAAAATTAACAAGTAAATACTCATAAATACAGCTAGCCATAAAAAGTGGCTTCCTTTGGAAATAACTGTGTGTAAGTCAGTCAGAACAACTAATGTAGCATATTTCTTCAAATCCTAATGTTTTAAGGAAGAAATAGAACAAAAAACTGAAAACAGGATTCTGTAAATATTTGAGAGACTCTAACCAGGAGGAGGAGGAATTCCTTAATCAGTCATCCAGTGAATGTATCCTGATAAAGAGGGATAATGGAACGGAATGGAATGGAAGGAATTTTAGACTAAGAGATTACTTACAAAAATACTAATTCCCTACTACCCCAGCTTCTCCAAACACCAAAATAAAAGTAAAAAAGACTTAATTAGGCAAAGCTAAAAATCAAACACATTCTATAAATATCCTAAATCATATACATAGCCCTTTATACTTTTCAAGTGACATGTATGAGTTCATCTTATTGAACAAAACATTTGATTAAATAGTTCAAAGTGCCTGTTATTTAGAAAAGACATAATCTTGCAATAAGCCAAATTAGACTCCCAAGCTCCCTTCACCAACTGTTGAATGGGTGGGAGAGAACAGAGTCTAACTTGGCCTCTTTTTGAGTTTTGTTTGCTTTGGTTTGGTTTGCATTTGAAGAGCTTTTTAAAATAGGCATCAACCATCAACCCTGCCCCTCAGAGCAGCTTCCCAGGGCTTAAGGCACCAGGTGACCAATCTGATCAGAGTGAAACCCCTGTGGGCCTGGCTCCCCTTTTTCAGGGGTCACTCCTGACCCCATCCCATCCTTGAATAGCTCCCTGCCTCCATCCAACCCCCTCCTCCTCCACTAGTAGTATCTCAACACTTCCAGGCCCAAAATAACACTGAGCTAAATTATTCCATACCTAATGATAAATTCCATTAAAGACTGTCCCTTCCCCCTCCTTCCTGCCTTTCCTGCTCAAACCAGGCCTCCCATCTTCTTCAGCCAATATAAAGAACTGGCTGGCTGGCTGGCTGGCTGGCTCAGTAGTGTTTGTGACTCTTGATTTCAGGGTTGTGAATTCAAGCTCCACACTGGGCATGGAGACTACTAAAGAAGAAAAATAAGAAAAAGAAAAAAGTCCCCACAAATCTAATTCAGTGGTGAAGGTTTGGGGCCAGTATGGACAAGCAATATGGCAGCCCACAGGGGAAGAAGGTGGGAACGGACCTGGTGCTGTGGCCCCAGGGGGAGCACTCACAGCACCTTCAGCTGCTACCCCACTGCCTTAGCACCTCCAGATTCTGCTTCAGCATAGTCTGAGAGTACTCTGTCCTGTCTTTGTCCTCTCAACCCACTCAACTACAGACCACAACAACAGACTGCAAAACTCCAAATATAGAATAAAGCCTCCAGAACTGAATATGCAGTCCCCTGGCAAAGGCCTAGAACCATGGGCCTTGCAACACCCTAATAATTCCTGGGGCTTGAGGACTCAAGGGGAAAATGAGAGGTTTGGACTCTATGTCCCGAAGTTTCTTCCTACTCTCAAAACCAAGATCCAAAATTTGGCTCAAATACCCAGGCCACTCCAGAGTAAAGTCAATGCAGAATGAACTAGGTTTGTACTATTCTGGCAATTATGACTCTGATGTGGACTCCCGGTTAGAGAAGACACAAGGCTGGTGTTACGGGCTGCTTACTGCTAAAAGATCACTAATACACTGGTGAACCACAGAAAAAAATGAAAGTACTCAATGATCTCACACAAAACACTAAAAGTGACAGAAAATAAAATGGGAACACATCTAAAGCACAACTAGCAATTCCCTTTTATCTCCAAAAATGAATTCAGTCAATGGAATACATACTGTGGCAGCTATGTGAGGAAAAGTTCTGGTCAGCCTGAGAATCTAATAGAGTACTACAGCCATTCCTTTGATTTTTATTCCCCTCCCCCACTTCTGAGGGTTTTTAAACAAATGAAAGAAGGCATTATTTCAGCTGGAGGCATAAGCATAAGTCATATAAGAACAAAGAAGGTTTTATTATCACACTTAACATCAAGGAGGAAATATGCTTACCGACAACTAATTGAGGTTATGCTACATTACTAGGTTAAGCATTCACTTTTTGCAAGCTTCTAAGCCAATATTTACTATTTATATCTAAGTCTGGAGGTAAAAATGTTCAGCTAGGACGAAGGTCATTAAGAAGAAAAAAAAAGCCCTTGAAAAATCAGAACAAAGTACACAGAGAGAAAGGTACTCTTTTTGCTTCAGTGGTCTATAGAACACCTGCCCTTCTGCGTCTAAAGTGAGTCAACATTAACCACATTTCACTCTGGCCCCAGCGAACTACCTCCCGATTAAAACAAACAAACAAACAAACAAACAAACAAACAAACAAAAAACCCTCCTTTTTGAAAGCTCTGCCCCATGCTCACACATACACAAAAGAATGTGAAACACACTGCCACAGGCCAGTGTCTTGGGCTTTTTGCCTAAGAAGTTTGCTTACCGCGAGAAGGGGGGGGGGGGGGGGGGACCCGCACTCTAAGAACAGACTCTACAATGAACAGCCTCGTTACTTGTTGGCACACTTCCCCAACTAGCAATTCCAACGGCTGTGCCTTGAGCCCATTCAAAAATTCCATGTGATAGAAGTGTTTCAAACACAGTCATTTGATCTTTAACATTTGCAAATGCACCTGCTAAGCAGCAAGCCTGACAGCCATAGCCCCAGTTCCTTCCCATCCATCTTCACCAGGAGTCATAGGGGCTACTTGAGGCGTGGACTAGAGAGACGCAAAGTACACAAACCCCCCCAGGCCAAACACTTCTTCCGCAGCAGGACGTTAGGCTCGAAGTGCGATGCCTTTCCGTTCTCCCGGCACCAACTTCCCTGTCACTTTTTTCCTGGAGCAGGTAGGAGGTTTTGTTTTGCACCGGAGCTTTCCAACGCCAGGGCTTACCTTGCGGTGGCTTCCTCCCCTCCCTTGCCATGGTCCCCCACCACGGCCTGGTCCTTGCCGCTGGGGTGGTAGGCAGTGAGGACAACTCCCTGGGAACTGGAGAGCCAGTTCATGGTGACAGAAGGGGCATAATTTCTGCGATCCTGACACGGAGACGGGGAATGAAGTTCCTCCGGGCTGCTCCGCTCATTAGCATTGGCCGGCTCCGCCTCCCGAGGCCGGTGACTGGCAGGGGAGGGGCGGGGCCTCGCCGGCGAAGGGCGGGCTGGCTGGCTCTCCAATGAGAGGAGCTGTGACTCAGAGTATTGTTTCAACCCGGGGCAATTCCAGTCCCGGCGGCTTTAGTTGAGGAAGGGTGGGGGCGCGGTTGGGGCGCGGTTGGGGCGCGGGGCGGGGGTGGGGGGGTATTGAATTCGCCCCCAGCCCTGAATCATTCCGATGAAACTCCCGGGTTGTGGACTCCGCTCATCGATGCAAGTACAAGTCTTCTTGGTCAGACAACAATGAGTTACTACAGAGCCATCCGCCCCCTCTTCCCAATTTCTGTTTCCATCTGATAATTTCTGCTACTTCATGTAACATGAGTAAGGGCATTTCTTAACCCCTTCACGTTCAGTGTCAAAATGAACCAAAGCAAAAACCAATGAGCCGGGAGCAGAAGTGTGCAATACAGGTAACAAGCAAAGCTTTACCTCTGCGTCTGGTTTAAAATGTCCACGTGGAATGACTGTGTATCCTGGAATGTCATCTTCTTTCACCTAAAAAGCCAATGCCAACTTTACCCCTTGCTTTTGTCAACAGACCCTTCAAGGCTAGAAAGAAACATCTACCAATACTCTGTTAAATGTTACGGCTGAGAATAGCAGCCGTTCTTACCATTTGTTGAGCACCTACCATATGCCAGGCCCTCTGTGACACGTGATTCACGAGTCCTATCCGTTCAATTCATTTCAATTATCTCTCTCTCTCTCTCTCTCTCTCTCTCACACACACACACACACACACACACACACACACACACACCCTACACACCCTATCACCTAAGAAAAGTAAAGCTGAGGGGTCAGGTTAAGTAAGTTCCCTTGGCTAAGAAAACACGTTTGTTCTGTGCCACAGGCTGTCTTTGAACAGAACTCTAGACTAAATTCCCTTCTTTTTAACCAGCATGCTGTTCTTTATCTTGTAGATTAGGAAACAAGCTCAAAAGTTATGAAACATACAAGGGATGTTCCTGTTCTTTCTCCCCCTCAAAAATATGGCTACTCTCTTCTCTATACCCAGGAGCCTGAACTGGATTGTTGTTGATCTTGATGATCTCTTAGTCAGTGTATCTAAGATTTCCTCATAAGCAAGTTCTCAACATCATCATTCCATAAATGTTGTTTACACTTTTTTCATTATTTAAAATCATCGTGAGAAATAAGTACTTTATTCGTACTTATACAGTCTTAAAGTATTTAAAAAAATTTTTAAACCCTCACTTCCCGGTCTACAGTGAACTCTTACTTACAGAAGTCTTCCTAAAAAGGGGGAGGAGGGGGGAGACAGAGTATATCTGCATCCCTCCCCCTCCACAACCTTTGCATTTCCACCTCCAAAGGCTCTACCTGCGGTCTTTTTTCTGTCTTCATTGCCTGAGTCCCTTCTGGGCCCTTATAGTTAGGTCTTAGTTCTAATATTACAACAGCCCTTTTAGCAACTTCTTTGCCTTCTCTTCTAAATTATTTTGCACATTACAGTTGACCCTTGAATGATATGGATTTGAACTGCAAAGATCTACCTATAAGTGAAATCTTTCCTATAAATACAGTAAATGTATTTTCTCTTTCTTATGATATTTTTAGTCTTTTTTATTCAAATAGAGTTGGCTCTTCCCTATGTTTTTGTTGTTGTTGTTGTTGTTGTTTTTTAAGAGAGAGAGCAAGTGAGTGAGAGTGAGAGTGAGCAAGAGTGCGGGTGGGGGGCAGAAGGAGAAGGAAATGAACACTCTTAAGCAGGCTCCACACCCAAAGCAGAGCCCAGCATGGGGCTTGATTTCATGACCCTGAGATCATAACCTGAGCTGAAACCAAGAGATGGATGCTTAACTGACTGACCCATGCAGGTGCCCTTTCCTCATAATTCTCTTATTTTCCCTGGCTTACTTTATTGTAAGAATATAGTATATAATGCATAGAACATAAAGTATGTGTTAATCAACTATGTTATTGGTAAGGATCCAAGTCAACGGTAAACTCGTAGTAGTTACGTTTTAGAGGAGTCAAAGTTATATGGGAGTCTCTGATTGCAAGGATGAGGGTGTGGGATCAGTGCCCCTAACGGCCACCCACCCCCACGTTGTTCAAGGCTCAACTGTATTATCACATCCAAGCACAGCCCTGATGGTGTCTCTCCTTGCTTAAGAGCTTTCACTGGCTCCCCTTGGCTAACAGAACCAGTTCCAAACTTTTTGAGCACACCACTGAACAGTCTTGCTACCTTATCCACATACATATCTCCATCTCTGACACCATTACCTCTGTTCCCACTGTCATTTTTTTTCTCTTCCACACCTAACAGAATCCTTCCACATAGTAGGCCTTTTTTTTTTTTTTTTAAGATTTTATTCATTTATTTGACAGTGAGAGAGATCACAAGTAGGCAGAGAGAGAAGGGGAAGCAGACTCCCTGCTGGACAGAGAGCCCGATGCGGGGCTCAATACCAGGACCCTGAGACCATGACCTGAGTTGAAGGCAGCAGCTTAACTCACTGGGCCACCAAGGTGCCCCATAGTAGGTCTTTAATGAATGTTGACTGAATAAAAAACTGAATTTCTTGTGTCCTTAAGAAGATTACTAGGACTCCTTGGTGGCTTAGTTGGTTGAGCATCTGACTCTTGGTTTAAGCTCAGATCATGGTCTCAGGGTTGTGGGACTGAACCACGCACAGGGCTCCGACATAGTGGGAAGTCCGCTTTGAATTTTCTCTGTCTCTCTCTCTCACCCTCTTCCTCTGCCCCTCCCCCGATGCTCGCTTGCTCTCGCTCTCTCAAAATTTTTTTTAAAAAGAAAGATTACTAAACATTTTAGTCAAAATTGGTAATACTGAGGCACCTGGGTGCCTCAGTCAGTTAAGCATCCAACTCTTGATCTCAGCTCAGGTCTTGATCTCCGGGTCATGAGTTCAAGCCCTATGTTGGTCTTCACACTGAGTGTGGAGCCTAGTTGAAAAAATGGTAATATTAAACAGTTGATTGGGAATACTAAACAGAGTGAACCTATGATGAAATATTGAACAGTTAAGGCAAAAAGAAAACTGCAGGAAGAGAGGTGAAAGGTAAGTCAATTAGAACATATGAGTTTTGTTTTTTTAATGTCCTTATGTATGTAAAATATAATATGAAATATAATATATGATGATTAATACCCCCACAGTCACCATTCTTTTTTTAATCTGTCTTCCCTCAAATACAAAAATGGACAAATCATCACCTTTTACAATTACTGGTAGTAGGCCGTACATTCTATCTTTAGAAATACTTTTCTTATCTGTTTTTCTTGCCACCCCACTCCTTCCTTGCCCTTAATTCCCTGGACCTCCTTTTTATCTTCTTCCTTTATTTTTTCTATTTTTCTTTCTTCCTTTGCTATATCATCAAGCTGTCAGTCACACATACTCACTGATAGCCATGAGCATTACCATTTCTCAAGAAACAATTCATGATAGAATCTTTGCCCAGTTTTAACCAAAATGATGATTAAGTTGTGTCTTTGTCTAATAATATTCTCTTCACAGGTTTAATTACAAATAAATCACAATATGCACATTAACATATAACTATTTCATAAGTTCAGAATAATACTTGGGTTACTAATAACCATGGCTTTTTAAATTTTTATGAGGCAGAAAACGTGGCACAAGTTGATTTACATAGTTTTGTGCATAAGATTGAATCCTATTAATTTAGCTGCCAGGTACATATAAATCCTCTTGGCTCTTTTTTTCATCCCACTAAGCCCTGTCATTACTAGTCTAAGGATATTGCTCTTCACATGCAGACAGTGGTAGGGTTGTGCGCGTGTGCGCACACACAAAAACACACACACGCATACCATGCCCTAGTGCACATGGCCTCAAATACAGGCTCGAGTAGATAAAACATGATTTTCAGATTTTCTTATGACCATCACAGAGGCAAAACTCACTACCAATATGTCCCCTTGAAAATGTTTTTCTTATTTCATATCTTAAGCCCTTCCAAGTTTTAACCAGAGTCCTCCCGTATACCCCATCACCCTTCCTGCTAGAAGCAGATTTTATGGAAAAAAAAAATATATACTATTTTCCTCCCTTCCGTAATCACTTTAAACAAACACTGAGAACCTAATGTCCTTGAAGATGTTAATATTCCAGGCTATTGACTGCATGCCAAACACTTTCCTGTTATGAAACATCTTACCAAGTAATTAATAACATCAAGACAGTTTAAACATTCATTTCATTCATTCTCTTTAAATGGGACATACTAGATGGCATAAGGAGGAAGAAGGAAGCTGTGACTTTTCAAACCAAATAGGTTGTTAAAAATAGGGTAGAGATAGTACCGTAGCCTCTGACAATTTGCCAGTTATGTTAAAAAATAATGGGAAGAAAAGTTATTATATTCAGTGATTGTAATATGAAAAAGTTTACTAACTGGTTTTCATATTTTGATTTAGGGGCATTTTTAGTAGTATGGAATTAAAACTGAAATAGAATCAACATATTTGGGACACCTGGGTGGCTCAATCAGTTAATCGGCTGCCTTCAGCTAGGGTCATGATCCCAGGGTCCTGGAATCAGTCCTGCATCAGTCTCCTTTCTTGGCGGCGAGTCTACTTCTTTCTCTCCCTCTGCCTGCCACTCTGCCTGCTTGTGCGCTCTCTGTCAAATAAATAAATAAAATTTTTTAAAAGATTTTTAAAAAGAATCAACATATTTATCAAAATTTTCTCAGTCATTTCTATTGCTTGAAATGGAATTAACTAAGGAGAATGTGTACCCTCAAACACTGTCAGATTATTGAAAGCCTATAAACAGACACAAGGCCATGTAAAAACTGACCTTTCAATTGGACAAGTAAAACTCAATTTACAATAATATAATAAGAACTTGGATAAATTAATCAACTGTGAAGTTAAAGTTTTATGTAAGTGATAAAAATCAGATTTACACG